GGCATGTGGTGCTGGGGGATTGAACCGCGGTCCCTGATGCTTTGCCAAGCTTGTTCTAAGTAGGTGCCTTAGACCACTGAGCCATCTCTCCAGCCCTACAAGTACTATCTTAATGGGGTAAAAAATACATTAGCATTGTGAGGGGGTGTTGTTTTCCTCTACTTCTATCATTGTGGCAGGGATTCTTTCTAAAATATATTACTACATTGTTTAAAAAGCAAAACATGGTTTGTAAATAGGATATAATGTCTGCATCTTGTACAGCAAATAACCACTAGGAAGAGAGTATGCAATGTGTTAATTATTGAAACTGACCTACCAATTTGTCTTGAAACTGTCTCATTGCTATTTGTTTCTCAATACAATTATGGGGAAAAAAAAGAAATGACTTTAGCTGAAAAAAAAAATAGAAACATGGCAAGTAATTTAATGTTTTCTTGATGAGTCACATTTATGGGAGCCGGGGAGATGGCTCAGTAGAGTAAGTGCTTGTCTGGCAAATGCAAGGACCTGAGTTCAATCCCCGGTTCTGCCAAACAAAAACAAAAAAAAACCAAATTTATAGTAATAATGATCCTTCTGCCTCAGCCCTCAAGTGCTGGGTTTACAAGCGTGTGCCACCATGCCTGGCTGAGCTTGAGTTCTTAATTGCTTTGCTATGCTGTTTTTAAGTTTTACTTTGCTTTTTAGAATATACTATATTGATCCTTTGAGGGATATTTCAGATGAAAAATAATTGTGTTAAGATCCCATTTTTCAATGCTTTTTAGACGTTTATGTTTGTTACTTTTTGTTTTTTCATTTTAATACACACACACTCCCTTTTGCTTTAGCTTCTTACCACATGCTCTGCTGCTTAATTCTTCATTCACTATATGTGTTTCCATGAACTTAAGAAGTTCAGATGACAGACTTCAGTAGGACCTCGTTAAAATAAAATGGGCAAAAGAGCATTCTATATTTTCATCTAAATGTATGGTGAGAGTCTTAGTGCATAAATTTTGGCACAGCTATTTTGCCTATAACTTTTTAATCTTATTGGTATTATTTTGCTAAAATTCCATTATTAACTATATTTTAAACAACCAAGGTAAAAGGAGCCTGAGTAAAGCACTCATATTTATTAGGCAAGCAAGATTATAGAATTACTAATTAAAAATTGCCCGGAATTTTTATGCTTTGTAGGTTCATTTATGTAGTTCCCATTTGTTACTTCGACGAGCTGCTGTGGCTTGTCTTCGACAACTTGCACAGCGAGAAGCAGCTGAAGTGTGTGAATATGCCATGAGCCTGGCAAAAAATGCAGGGGACAAAGAGAGCAGTGGTGGCCGTAAGTTCTTTCATTGGTCAAAACTATGGCTTAAATAGTCTCATATTTTGAACATCTCAGTATAATCATTTTTAAAATTGGGATTTGACTCTTACTGTCAGATCAAATTCTAATCCTAAAGGTATATAACCTAGAGATCATAGGTTTTATTTTTTTATTTCTATGTCTGTCTGCCTGTCTTTGAGAAAGGGTTTCACTGTGTAGTTCAGGCTGGCCTTGAACTCACATTGTAGCTTAGGCTAGCCTTGAGCTCCCAGAAGTCCTCCTGCTTCCGCCTCCTGAGTGCTGGAATTATAGGCATGTGTCATCACTTCCTGCTGATCGTAGTTAATTACATGTATAGGTAGCTTACTTTGTTCCCATCGAGAATTTATTTGTAAGCCTCATCTTTTACTTGTTATCTGTAATATACAACAAAATCTCATTGAAATTCATTGTAAAACTTTTCAGATGTCAATCCTTTTGCACCAGGAGTTAGTTGTCGAAGCGATATTCATTGCCGGCATCAAGGTGTTAACATAACAGAAACTGGTTTGGAGGGACTTCTTTTTGGAATGTTAGATCGTGAGACAGATCGGAAATTGTGTTCTGATATTCATGACACGTTGGGCCATATGCTTTCATCACTGGCAGTGGAAAAACTTTCCCATTGGCTAATGCTTTGTAAGGATGTCCTGGCAGCATCTAGTGGTATGTATTTATGTTCTTAAAATAATAAAAAAACTTTTACTTTTGTTCATTTGTTTGAGACAGGGGATTTATTGTGTAGTGCAGGCTGGCCTTGAACCCACTTATGTAGCCCAGGCTGGCTTCCAACTCATTTAGCCTCTCAAGTGCTGGAATTATAGTTGTACGCCATCATACCTGGCAACTATTTACTTTTGATACATAGATGTAAATATATAGATATAGAAATACACATTTATATAAATTTGATTTTTACATTTAAAAGTATTGATAATTTTTCATCTTTATACAATAAACCCCTGTAAAAATACTAAGGTTAAATTATATAATAAACTAATAAACTTACTACATATTTTGGAAAATTTATTTCAAAATGTTTTGAAAGTTTAAATTTTCATGTCTAAAAATCCTAGACTGGCTGTGAGAATAGCTCAGCAGTCTAAATGCCTGCCTAACAAGTACAAGGACTTGAGTTTCATCCTTAGTACCACAGGCCTTGCCGGCTGTAAAATCAGGTGTGGTGGTGCACTTTTGTAATCCAGTGCTAGGGAGGCTGAGACAGGAAGCTCACTGAGTCTGAACTGCATGGTCAGACCCTATATCCAGTAAATAAATAAAATTAAATAAAGAGGAGAAAGAAGAAATATATATATATATATATATATAAAATTCTAGGCTATCCTGCAGTACCATACAATATGTTAAACTGTTGTACTAGGTAAGCATAATTTATATGGAAGTAATTTATGTTATCCTTTCCTTGATTTTTGAGTGTTTAAAGAAACTTTTCCACTGGACCAGCCAGATAGCTCAGCAGATTAAAGCTCCTGCTTAGGCAGATGCAGGGGTGAGGGGTTCAATCCCCAGCATGCCGTGCCATGCTGGCCCTGCCCCCGGGTGCCCTGAGCGGGGTATTGAGACTGGGTTTGGTGGCACAGGAGGATGAAAAACAGGAGAATCACTACGAGTCCAGTCTGTGTAGTGAGACCCTGTAGATCCTGTACTAAATACATAATAAATAAATAAAAAACCTTTCCAGTTCTGTTTTCCACAGAATGAAAATTAATGCTATTTCTAAAGCATAATTTTACTGTGAGATCCTATGATTTTCCTGATTTTTTATTACAGATATGAGTACTGCAACACCCTTAAGTAGTGGAAAAGATGAAGAATCTGAGAAAAAAGATGAAATGGATGACGATACCATGTTTACCACTCTAGGCGAGGAAGATAAGTCAAAGCCTTTTGTAGCACCTCGCTGGGCCACTCGAGTGTTTGCTGCTGACTGCCTGTGCCGAATCATCCACTTATGTGAGAATGCAGACCAGGCTCACTTTGATCTTGCCATGGCACGTTCTGCTAAACTACGAAACCCTAAAAGTAAATTTAAATCAGTACTTTTTAATTCCAAAACATTTTTATAGGTTTGGGATATTTTAATGCTGTATATCATGCTTTAGTCTGTTCTAATTTATTATAAGTTGTCTTGTCTTTTACCTTAATTTCTGTTCCCTTTATATGTTATCCATTTCTGTTTGGAAGAAAAGTTGAAGAAGGTGGTCCATAGATAAATAACTGCAGACAGAGAAAGAGATAGGTAGATATGTGCATGTATTTTAATCATTGCCCTAAGAGTAATGATGGCAACGTAATTTAGATTTCTTCAGTACATTTTTTTTTTTTTTTTTTTTTTTTTTAGTTTTGGTAGTATTTTGTAAAAGAAATAAAATGTTAAGGTATGTAAATAATGAACTGCAATTTTCAGTCATGGACATTGAAAGTTCATGAATGCCATGCAGATACCAGCTTCTCAAATTTTGGAAATCCTATTAGGCTATTTTTGACTTCATCTAGAAAGTGTTTTTTCTTTTTTTTTGAAGTCTTTTCTTTTTCGTGTTGGTGCTGAGGCTAAAGCTTAGAGCCTCACACATGCGAAACAAGTGGTCCGCTTCAGAGATACAGCCCCAGCCCAGTGCTTTTTAAAAATTTTATTTGATCAGTATATTTTATGCATATATAACGATAACATTCATCATAGGGAATTATACCTGTGTATGATGTATCTTTTTTTTCTTTTGCGGCACCGGGGGTTGAACTCAGGCCCTTGCGCTTGCTGGGGAAGCACTTATGCTACTGAGCCATCCCCTTGGCCCCTGTATGATGTATCTTGCTGCTCCTTTTCCCATTCTCCTCTTCCTTCAACCCCTCTTCCCTTCCTTATTTATAAAAGCTTTGTTTGCATTTTTCTTCTATTCTTTTTTGTTGTCCCTTCTTTCCTCCTGCCTCCCTTTGCTCCTTTTCTCTTTTCAACATTTTCTTGCCCTTTTCCAGTATGTATTACACATCTAGAATGTCCTTCAGAACATTTTGGGTTATTACACTTTCAGTTTCTTAAAGAGAAACAATGCAGTGTTTAAACATGTGTGTCCAATTCATTTCACTCAAGGATATGAACTCAGGGTACATCCATTTAGCTAGAAGCATCTGAAGCTTATCCATCCTTACATTAGAGTAGTACTGCATTGTATTAAAAAAATCGCACCTTTATCTGTTCATTGGTTGATGGGCATTTTGACTTTTTTAAACTTAGCTGTTATGAACTGTGCTGTTAAAAACATGGCTGTGCATATATGGTGGTAGTATGATTCTTTTAACTTTTAAAATTAAGTTTATTGGTACATTTTATTTTTATTTATTTATTTATTTTTGTATTTTAGGAGAGGGTCTACAGGGTCTCACTATGTAGATTGGACTTGTAGTGATCCTCCTGTGTTCAGCCTCCCAAGTGCTGGGGTTATAGGCGCGTGCGCCCGCGACACCATGCCCAGTCTCAGCAGCCTTCTCAGTATGCCCCAGGGGCGGGGCTGGCACAGCACGCCGGGGATCAAGCCCCAGATGCTACATCTCCCTAAGCAGGCACTTTAATCTGCTGAGCTATTTTGCCGGCCCTTTTAGTACATTTTAGATACACATCATGATCATACTCATCATAGGGAATATGTACCCATACATGATGTGTTTTGATTGGTCGTTTTTTTTTACCAATCCCCTCTTCTCCCTTTAACCTGTCTTCCCCTCCCTATTTATAAAACTTACCCCTTTTTTGTTTTTGTGAGTTCAGGCTAGCCTTAAACTCACTTCATAGCCCAGGCTGGCCTTGAACTTGAAACAGTCCTCCTGCCTCAGCTTTGTGAGTGCTGAGATTACAGGCATGCACCACTGTTCCCAATTTTATCCTTTAAAACATTTTCTTTTCCATTTCTTCCTTCCCCCTACCCCCACTGTAGTTCCTCTTTCCTTTTGAATAATTTCTTCCCATTTCACAGTATCTGTTGTACATTTTGGCCTTCATGTACTCTTTCAGTTTCTCACATGAGGGAGATGATGCAATATTTACATATGTGAGTCCAATTAATTTCACTTAAGTGTATGGTCTCAAGTTGCATCTATTTACCTAGAGATACCTCAGATTTGTCCTTTATAAGACAGATTAATACTGCATTACATAAAAAAAAATCATCTTTATCCATTTCTGAGTTGATGGGCAGTTGGACTGTTTCCAAGATTTAGCTAATAAAACTGTGGTGCACATATAAACAAGAGTTTGTATGTGTCTCTATGGTATGATGTTTTTAATTTCTTTGAGAAGATACACAGAAGGGTAATAGCTGGGTTGAATGGGACCTTTAATCCTAGTTTTTTGAGGAATCTCCATACCGATTTCCACAGTGGTTGCAGCATTCTGCACTCCCACCAACAGTAGAGAAAGGTTGCTTTCTCTTCACAGCCATTTAGCATTTGTTATTGGTTGATTTCTAGATGATCCCCATTTTTTCTGGGATGAGAAGGAATCTCAGGATTGTTTTAATTTGCATCTCACTAATAACCAGTGACATTGAACACTTTTTAAATATATTTATTTGCCATTTAAATTTCTTCATCTGAGAAGTTTGTATTCATCTCAGATGCCTAATTTTGGATTGGGTCTTTATTTTATTTATTTATTTATTTATTTATTTAAATTCTGAAGAATTTTTTATTGGAATTTCTCATTTTATAGTTTTGGACTATAATTGACCTTGAGTAACTGAGATCAGGGAAAGGAAGACCACACATAAGGAATGGACTATGTTCTGTACTGTAAACTTAAAGTTTGCTCAGAGGCTAGAGTTTTGCATTAAGAATTTGTTTTGGTGGTATTGGGGATCAAACTCAGTGTTCCTCACATGCTCAGAAAGTAAACCTTTGAGCAACACCCCAGGCCTGTAAGTATTCTTTTTTTTTTTTTTTTCCATTTCTCTCAATGTTGATCATCTAGCTTGATTTTTTTCCTATTTTTCTTTTATTTTATAGAGAAACAGCAATAAGACAGTATCAAAACTTATTAATAGGATAATTTCAATAATTAATACATTGTACATTCTTATCTTCCTAGTGGTTATCCATAGTACAAGATGCAGACAGGATATCCTGTCCAAACACTATTAGTACAAATCTTTCTTATTGAATTAAGCAAACGTCGCTGTATATCTATCCTAACTATTCTACATATACAGATACAAAATGGTCCTTCCTTTGTATCGCCTTTTTTGTTTAGTCCTGTCAGAAATGGGTATCCCATTGGCATCTAAATACTATAGGTATGTGATTTCAGCAAAACAGCCCAACACAGTCCAGCAGTCTATAATAGTAGCGGGTTATCCACAGAAGTTGTTGACTTGAGCTTTTCACAGCTCAGCATATTAATATGGCTTTACTTTACATACCTTGTTTTTATACTTTTCTGCTAGATGGTTAAGAACAAGATAAAGCAAGACCTATATAACAAGAAATGTAACTTTTGTATCGGATAAGGTCAGTCAAGTACCCTCAGGATTTATTCTGTAACCCTGTTCTGCAGGTTGCAGATGCTTTGTCAGTGTCAGCCGTGTGGATGAGTCACGGCCATTGCTTGACCCATTTGCTCTCTGTCAAAGCCGGAGAGAATGTTTTCTCTCCAGGTGACTCTCCTTAGGCACACTCTGTGTCATCGAACGTGTTGCTCTGTGGCCCCATAATCTCCTTGATCAGAAAATTTGGGACACAACTGAGTTACATGATGTTATAGTATAGGTTCTATGTTCTGAGTCTTCACTGACCTTGAAAGGTTATGGTCAAAATGTTGGCTGTCCTTGCAGCCCTTCTATTTCTCTAATTTTTGGACTGCAAACTTAGGTTGTTAACCCACCAGAAGAGAAGCCAATTATTACCCTACAACATATTCAGTTGGGTTTAACTTCACTATCTGTCTGAATATCAAACATCTTAGGCATAACATGAAACAGGTATTTTCCATCAAGTATTGATATGTTGAACATTAAGTCCCTACAGAATATGGAAAAAAAATTTGAAAAATGAAAATATTTAAAGAATATGAATAAACAATTATGTATTTTTACACAGAAACTTAGAAATCTAACCATATACAGCATTTTAGCAGGACAGTCCTGTGACTTTTTTTTCTTGTGTCTTTTTTTCATTTATTACCCATTAAAAAAAAAAAAAAACTACTTGTGAGATATTTTGGTAATAATTGGTATGTCATGACAAGATACGTATTTAGAAGACCAGAATGATAGGCATTTCAAGCGTGACCCTTCTATTACACATTGCTATCTTCAATGCAGTTGTTTGGTTCACAGGTATCAGTATGTATAGTTAGTCAAGGTGAGAATCCTACCAATTAACTGCTAGTTTCAAAAACCTGCTGATGTTTCTCAGGATCATTGCCTTACCCATCTTGTG